AAAGACTCAGCACCATCAGAGCTTGGTGGCCTGCATGCAGCGACTGTGTTTTTGTGTCAGATACGTGGCCATCACTACATAAAAGATCTAATGTTGGGAATAAAAGCAAATGGGGAATGGGGAAAAAATTCAGAGTCCTGTGGTGCTAAGGTGGGATTTTAAGTTATAGATCTAACTTCTCCCACTGGACATTGTTGTGGGAGCAATGAGAGCAATTCATTGGGAGCAATGGTCGGTGCTGAGCACTTGAAAATCCAGCTTTTAAGGTCAGTCCACATGTTACCTTTTGCAGCATTCTCTTGAGTCCACGCTTTGGTTAAAGGGATGGCACCAACTTCAAAATCACGCTTCCTCCTGAAAAATAGTGTTCCTGGCTAATGCTGTGCATCACAGTTAAGGTGACTTTCCTTGAAAGAATTTGGAGAAAATAAAGCCTTCTCTCTCTGCTTTTCACCCTGTTTGTTTAAGGCATGGAGGATAGGTTCGAGTCGCTCTCTAAACCAGTTTCCCCTGTTGTTAATGTAGGTTTTTCACGCTGCAGAAAATGAGACAAAAATATTACAAAAACGCATAAGTATTTGCTAGTGATTCCCAGGCATGTGACATAACGAATATGCATTTACTTCATATTGTGAAATGGTCTTGGCTTCAAGCTTGTGAAATCACTTTAGAGAAAACAACACTTTTTGTTATAGCCAGACTCCTGCCATCTGTGTGTGAACCAAGAACTAAGTTAACCCACCCTTGCCTTAAATTATCTCCAGGCAAATTACAGAGCAGTGGCAAGGCTGAGCAGTCCCTTTCAACCTCTCCATTCATCCCACTGATATGTGAATCCTGGCGTGAGACGCTAACCTCCTGAAAGGTGATCCCTTTTGTTTCTTTACAATTTAGGAAAAGATAGCCTTGAAAGGTTTTAAAGCCCCTTAGGCCCAACAGTCCAGTGAACAGAAAAAGACACAGCAAGTAGAGCGGGACCATGACGTGCTGTTGATCCTGTCTGTCCCGCTATGCCTTTGTCCAGCAGTAGGCAGCCCCCAGCATATTGCAGGGTAAAGTGACTGGTACAGTGTTGCTTTCAGGGGCATCTGAGGTTTTATAGCCAGATACTAATCAACTTCTAAGGCACCTCCACGTAGGCATCACAGCACCCAGAATTTAGACACACGAGGAGTGATCCAGATCAAAAGAGTTAGGTACCAGGGCATTCTGTACTGTTACTGGGGATGCCAGAGTGCCTC